AAAGTTTCCTTCAGAATAAAAGCCTGAGTTGCGTTTCATACAGCAGTAAAAGTTTCCTTCAGAATAAAAGCCTGAGTTGTGTTTCATACAGCAGTAAAAGTTTCCTTCATAATAAAAGCCTGAGTTGTGTTTCATACAATATAAATTTCCTTCAGAATAAAAGCCTGAGTTGTGTTTCATACAGCAGAATTTTCCTTCAGAATAAAAGCCTGAGTTGCGTGTCATACAGTAGTAGATGTTTCCTTCAGAATAAAAGCCTGGGTTGTTTTTCATACAGCAATATAATTTTCCTTCAGAATAAAAGCCTAAGTTGTGTTTCATACAGCAATAGAAGTTTCCTTCAGAATAAAAGCCTGAGATGTGTTTCATACAATAGAAGTTTCCTTCAGAATAAAAGCCTGAGTTGTGTTTCATACAATAGAAGTTTCCTTCAGAATAAAAGCCTGAGATGTGTTTCATACAGCAGAAGTTTCCTTCGGAATAAAAGCCTGAGATGCGTGTCATACAGCAGTAGATGTTTCCTTCAGAATAAAAGCCTGAGTTGTGTTTCATACAATAGAAGTTTCCTTCAGAATAAAAGCCTGAGTTGCGTGTCATACAGCAGTAGATGTTTCCTTCAGAATAAAAGCCTGAGATGCGTGTCATACAGCAGTAGATGTTTCCTTCAGAATAAAAGCCTGAGATGCGTGTCATACAGCAGTAGATGTTTCCTTCAGAATAAAAGCCTGAGTTGCGTGTCATACAGCAGTAGATGTTTCCTTCAGAATAAAAGCCTGAGATGTGTTTCATACAGCAGAAGTTTCCTTCAGAATAAAAGCCTGGGTTTTTTTTTGTCATACAGCAGCAGAAGTTTCCTTCAGAATAAAAGCCTGAGTTGCATGTCATACAGCAGTAGATGTTTCCTTCAGAATAAAAGCCTGGGTTGTATTTCATACAGCAGAAGTTTCCTTCAGAATAAAAGCCTGGGGTTTTTTGTCATACAGCAGCAGAAGTTTCCTTCAGAGTAAAAGCCTGAGATGTGTTTCATACAGCAGAAGTTTCCTTCAGAATAAAAGCCTGGGTTTTTTTTGTCATACAGCAGCAGAAGTTTCCTTCAGAATAAAAGCCTGAGCTGTTCCACACAGTGATGGAAATGTTTAGACTCGGTGGGAACTCCTCCTGCTGAAATAGCTGAGCTCTCAGTCTCCTGAAAGAGTTTCCCCTGAGTCATCATCACCTCTCTGCTACTGCTGCAGAGCAGCCGAGGATCATGGGAAATAATTACCCAGAATGAAGTGGACCCGCACAGAGAGCTGAGTCCTCAGGATCAGGATCGGCTTCCTCCCTTTCCTGTGGAAACACACACAAAAAAAAAATATTCAGTCACCAAACAATTTTAGTCATTTCAGGCTGGGCCCACCATGACAGCATCCTCACTGGTCCCAGACCAGTTTCCACGTGGACCGCACACTGCCGGGACCTGAGAGCGGAAAGAATGACAACATGGATGGAGGAAAAAGGATGAAGGCTAGCAGTCACTTAGCTTTCCAACCGGTTCAACACTTAGCATATCCTGACTGTGTGCAGGAGAGTGGGCGGGGCTTAAGGCCACACAGTGAGCAGACTCTGGTTCCAAAAATACGTGTGCTCCCTTAAACCAAGTCCTGCTTGCTTCAAGTCCCACCAGCAGGACAAGGTGGGCATCGTGTTATAAAACCCGTCAGGGGTCTACAGCATCAAAGATTCAGAAAACAACCGAACAGACCCACAGCCGCCCCCCCCCCCACACACACACACACACACACACACACACCCCCACACACACACACACACACACAGATACTTACGCCACATCCTCATAGAAGCCCTCGAGTTCTTCTCGCTGCTCGAACAGAGAGGAGTCCAGGTCCAGATAGTTCCCACTGGGAGTCACCTGCAGGGTGCAGTCCTCCAACTGAAACCAGAGACGACACAAACCATGAAACCAGACATCACACACTGCAGGAGCAACAACAACAACAACAACAACAACAACAACAACAACCCATCAGAGTGTACGATTGACCAATAATCACTGCAACATGAAAAGTACAGAAAAACTTTTATTATGACCACTGCTTCGTGTGTGGAGGTCATAATAAATGTAACTTTCTTACCCGAGTGATTTTTCTGTTGCCGTTTGTAGTTTTGTAGTGATTGGACCTGCTGTGGTCACAGATAATGTTTGAGTTTAAATTTTCCCGCAAGGTTATAATAATTTTTGATTTTTCATTATTGTTTAGTTTTATTTCATTGTGACTTTTTTCATTTTAATTCAGTTAGTTTTAATT